CCGGGGTCGGGGGTTGGCGACTGGCAGGGCCGCCTGGGTGCCGCGGCACTGCGGTATGCCTGGGGTAGGCGGCGGGAGGGTCCATTTATACAGAGCTTCAGGGGGGAATGAGTGAGTGTTCAGTCTGAAGGCTTGAGTCACTGGTGTTAAAACTTGGCTATAGAGTAAGTAGAGATGTAAATTTCTGTCCAGGTAATATATCTGGTTTTGTAGGCGAACTTTATCTCTGTCAGTAAAAGCATGCCTAAGACTGTGGGCCATTACATAGGTAGCCTTCTGCTGTTATTTAATGTGGTTTTTTTACATTTCTGCACAGGGTATTTTACCTGTAGAGATAATATGGGTAAGGTTTCAAAGAATATTTCTGCTGGCAGAAGAAGAAGTAGTAGAAATACTTGAAACATTATATCTAATGTTCCTCAGTATCTAACTGTAATGCTGTGCTTAGTGTAATTCACTGAGCAATCTCAGGCAGGCTGCGTATAAATCTTTTTTCTAACTCTTGTTTTGAAGTGTGTTTAAACAAACACAAGTTGTCTCCTGTTGAAGGTGGTATATCCCAAGTGTTGTGTTGGGAAAGTCACTAAAGGAAATCACTTAGAAAAAAATGCACTTTTTTCTTTTTTTTTTTTTTATTCCCCCCCTTCAGGTCCTGGAATCTTGACCCGAACTCTGCTCAATGCAGGTGTTAGAGTGGTAGCTCTAGAAAGTAACTCAGCTTTTCTTCCAAACTTACAGGTACACTTTTGATTTAGTAGTACATTTCTAAAACAGAATTAAAGGGAAAATAAGAAATTAATAACTGTGTAATAACTGTTGGATCGAAAAGGAATTAGCCAGTGATTGTTACTTGTAACATCTGAAATAATGCTTAATAATAGTAAGTATTGTTTGGTTTTACATTGCACGTTCGGCAACAGACTATTTTATAATCAATTGATTTGACATTTTGTGTATGCAGGAATTCAAGTTCATAGTCTTCCTATGAATAGTTTCATGCATAAATTTGAGGCTAATACTAATCAGAGTCATTGTAGTTGTGTATGTTTAAGCAGGATGTCTGTCTCTGCTAAGAAAAAAAGGAGGGTAAGGCCCTATATCGACCGGACCCATCCCACAGGGAAGTCTGCTGCCTCCCTGGGGTGTGGGTCAGAGACATCTCTAGGAAGCTCCCTGGTCTGGTACGGCCTTCCGATTACTACCCGCTGTTGGTTATACAGGCTGGCAGTGATGAGGTTGCAGAGAGAAGTCCTGCAGTGATCAAAAGGGACTTCAGGGCACTGGGGCGACTGGTTGAAGGATCGGGAGCACAGGTAGTGTTTTCCTCTATCCCTACAGTGGCAGGGAAGGATACTGAAACGAGCAGGAAAACACACCTGATCAACACGTGGCTCAGGGGCTGGTGCCATCGGAGGAATTTTGGCTTTTTTGATCATGGGGAGGTTTACATGGCACCGGGCCTGCTGGTGACAGA